TGCGATTCAATTGTTTCTACTGACCCACTAAAGGTTAGAGGACAAGTCTTCAAAAATTGGTCTATCATCCGATCTGTCATCCCTGAGTTAGCCTGGATGACCTATGATATTTAATTTTTAATATTAGTTTGAGTAGCTAAGTTAAGTAATGTCACTTAAGTCATAGCTCTATCCAATGTTTTTTGATTTACTTAAGGTAACGGCTGAAACACTTATGACTTTTTTTTGAGCTGAGTGGCTGGGTGAATCAATTCAACTGTTTGAGTAAGTTGAATGATCATATCGGTCATCATTGTAACGAGTGCAGTAATATTAGGGGTTGGGTAGCAACACATTAATGGCTAGTAGATTGGGATTCTATAGGAATGGCTATATCTTTCTCGGCAGCTCCTAAGCTATCAATTTTGCGGGGGCGGGCGATGGCACTTCTTCTACTTGACACCATTCTGAATAAATAATTAAATTAAATTAAATTAATAAACAAATACACACACATATATATATATTTATTGATTATTAGGAATAACCTATGATAATCCATCTGACTACCAAATCCTAGGAAAATAAGAGATATTGAATACAAAATAGATGACTTTGATACCACTCTATCACATCCCGGTAATATGGGATGTGATAAAGGTATAAATAAAATATGTTTTGTACTCAGAAGGAAAAAAATTATATTCAAGTAATATAACATAACACATCAGAATAAACAACGGAAAGAAAAATAGAATTTTATTTCATTACCAACAACAATAACAACTTCAAGCCTTTATCCCACTACGTGTGGTCGGCTACATGAATTCTATTTCTCCATTGTAAACTGATAAGAGTCAAATTCTCATTTAAATCTAATAAAGAAAGGTCATTTCTAATATTTTCTAACCAAGTTTTTTTAGGTTTATCTCTACCTTTCTTAATATAAGCAAAATCTAATACATCTACTCTCCTAACTGGGTCATTTGAAGGCCGCCAATTTATGTGATCAAACCATCTAAGGCGACTCTCTCTAATCTTATCTTTCACTGGAGCTACTCCAACCTTTTCATGCATATGCTTGTTTCGTATTCTGTCTCTAAGAGCAAAGACACTCATCCACATGGGTATCCTCATCTCTGCAATACTTAACTTAATATTATGCTTATCTTTTAATGGCCAACATTCTACAACATAAAGCATTGCAGGTCTCACCACAATCTTATAAAATTTTATTTCATTACCATAAATTAAAAAATATCACTTCAATAAAATGAAAATAACACATGAAAAGAGCACTGAAAGAGACAACTGCTAAAATAAAACAACCAAAATCCTCAAAATAAAATACGAATTATCTACTATACAACAACAACAACATCAAGCCTTTGTCCCACTACGTGGGGTCGGCTACATGAATCTATTTTCTCCATTGTGTCCTATTAAAAGTCAAATTCTCATTTAAATCTAATAAAGAAAGATCATTTCAAATATTTTCTAAACGAATGACCTACTATGAAAACTTAAAATATAAACTATGTTTTGATGCTGATAAATATGCTCCTATGTGATGATCCACCAAACACTCCAACATGATATGCTATAAGAAAATTAAAGAGTGAATTTGAGAATTCAAACCTAACAAGCAACTCCTATCTATTAAAAGCATAAAGATAAAGAAATGGGGGCATGCAACATGAACAACCAAAGAAAGGAATAGTAATTACATAGCAAAAAATAATTAAAGAAGCTATATGTAATTGAAAGATGTCATATTTCCTATAATAGTTTCTAACATGATAATATTATAAATGTGAATGTTAAACTATTAAGTCTATTATTAATGTAATTTCATTCAAATTTATTCATATGCAATATCATGCCTCAATATGACTTATCAATCATTCATCGTCTACACTAGGAAAATAAACATCAACCTAAGAAAATCTAATGATTTTCTATAGAGTTATCACTCTGAGGGCATGTCAGCTTGACTAGCCACTATCTAATAGGTTTATATTGACCTATATATCATTGCACACAAGCATATAATTCATATGTTTTTCATAAGAAAAATTTCATTGTGAATTATTAAACTAATATGATTTGGAAGGATATGATTTATTACTTTTAATAGAAATAATATATATGAAACTAGATTTTTTATGACATAAATCAAATTCAATGGATAAAAAGTCCATGCATAATAAATCAGGGTAAAGTTGACTCTATCACATGATAATTTCATTATTGATGATAAACAAGATCTACACATGCATTGCAACAAATAAGTATTGAAGCAGGACTGACAACCTAACATATAATAAGAATAATGCACCTAACAAATAAGAGTGCCTTTATCCTTTAAGATTACAACTAATTGCCTCAAGATGAATGGTACGAGATTCCAATTTATTTGAGATTCAACTAATGAAGTCAAATGAAGTTCAACTTACACGTCCTATAAAGAAAAATCCTAAGTTAATATCCAAATTATATTAAGGAGCAAATATACAAAAATCTAAGATCTAATCTACCCAACTTAAAGTTGCATATAATGAAGGTTATTAGTCGAGTCTAAATATTTTAAGTTGCAAGATAATTGAGTCAAACGAAATAGACTTCTATAATCTATACTCTCAATTATATGGTTTATCTTAAAATAAATTGGATAAACCTAAAATTATGTTTAAAATTATTAAATGCACAAAATAAAATACCTATATGAAGTACAAACTAATTTAATTATTTTCAATGGTAATTCTTATGAAAAGGTTCAATAGCATTCAAAGGCAAATTAAATTATTAATATATATTTATATGAATTGAAAAAGAGAGAAAATACAGGAGAATAAAATTCATTATCATTGGCATACCTCAATTGATGGAGGAGGAAGACGAGGGGAAGTTTTGTTATTTCTCTAACGTCTCGATCATAATAGGAAGAGAAAGAGTTGAGGAAGGCCATGGAAGGTTGGCGGCTAGATTTTGAAAGAAAGAAGGGTTCGACAGCTGTGATTTATTAAGGGATTAGTTTATGAGTGGGAGGGGAGAAACAAAGATGAGAGTGGAGAGGTGTGGCGACTGTAGGAAGGAGAATGGCATGTGATGCAATTTTGTAATAAGAGAAGATGCGGAAATCGTGTTTGTGATTGGGTTGAGGATGGCATGCTTGGGATTTCATGTGCATTGGTGTTTCGGGTGTGGAAATTAATAAAAACTAATTTAAAATAACTCATAATAACTACTCTAAAAAATGAGGCCATACGATCGTAATCCATGGAGGGGATCACAATGTTAGAGGTGAGCAAAAAGCTAGAGAGAGTCGTAGTGGTTGAGGCAGTTGCGGCGGCCAACAAGTGAATGGGGTGTGAGGAGCAATAACAAATTATAATACGGTTGACAACTGTTGAAGGGGAAGCAAGAATGAAATGTGAGGTCAACAATGCCAATTACATGAGCAGGGTAGATGACACTTGATGTAGACACACAAGTAAGAAAACCGACACAAAGGGAGTAATGGATAGAACTTAAACCAAACTTTATTAAAATAAAAGCAAATAACTAAAACTTCAAAATCCAACAAGAAAACACTAAGAGATTTTAAAGAAAAATAAAAGACGCTATCCTCAGACAACCGTCAGAGCGGGTTCCTCACATGCATCGAATTGTAGGGTAAATAAGATAAGTGCATAAGACTAGCAA